CAAAGTCAATAAAAAAAATGTATAATAAAGTTACAAAGTATGTATAATGCGTATTTACGTAATTCTTATATGAATAATATTTGGTTAAATTAATTTATAGTCAAATATAGTAGTTTTTAATGTAAAACCTTTGTTTTGTTTAAAATATATAGTCTTAGTTTTACTGCAATTTAAATATTTAAAATGTTTTATTAAATATTTTCCAAATTGCATACAGCTGGCAACTAGGCGTATAGAAGTAGGAGTTCTTTAAGAACACTGGGCGGGCTATACTAAATGCTCTCCTCTATTTTAATGTTTATCTAGTAAACTTTCTGAAAATAAATAGATTCGCATTTTTGCCTTAGACATTTTTTCCCAAATGTCGTGCTTTACGATTAAAAGGAATTTTAAAAATATTTCTTTAAATCAACCTGTAAGTAACCACATAAACTCATTAAATCAATATATAGTAACAGATTTTTTTTTAGTAACTATTTTTTCTTTGCGATAAAGTGAAAACTTAATTTTTATTTTAACCCAAAAAATTGATTTGCTTCAAGTATATCAGTCCATAGCACTAAACCAATTGAAATAACAAATTTAAAAAGCGATTATTATGGCATATTCGAAAAATTTTGATTTTGATAAGAACCTTTCTAAATCGAGATATATACATATAATGCTAACTCCGAAAAAAAACTTAACAAAAAATTCAAAACCCCATATCTCGAAAAGATATCTATAAACATTTTTTTAAAGGGGTTTCTTAAAAAAGTTAACTACAACAAAAAATTTTTTGTATTATTTTAATTGAATTTTTGGCTGACTATACAGCTGTTTCGGGTATTGCCAAATACCCATCAATTATTCGTAAATAATTTTTTTAATAATTTAAAAAAATATTAAAACCACAAATATTAAGGTATGAAGTAATGGTAAAGTATAAAGTTAATAAAGAATTAGAGAAGAACGCATTAGAAACTTAAATTCGCACTTTAAAATTTTAGCAGAATGCTTTTAGAAGTTTTTTAGACTTTTATGAAGTCTGTCCCACAGTCAGATATGTACTTTGGAGTAGTTGGTGTCCTTTTAGTAATTAAATACAAATTTTAATTTTATATGAACCAGTCGTGATGCATTATATGTATAAATGCAGCCCTTAGATTCACTTTATAGGTACCAGCGAGTGGGTTTTGGTTCACTTTCGTAAACTGTTCCCCTGGCTAATTGTCTGGCAGAGAAACGGTTGCAAGTTGCTCAAACTCAGGCTCTCCGAAGACTCTTCGAAGTGTTTTGGTACATCCGCATAAATTACATGCTAAGAGACCTTAGAATAGACCCGGTCCAAAAAATACATAAGAAACAGAGCCTTGAAGCTATTCGAGAAAACCGAAGGGTTACCCTACTTACACTATCTAATCTTAGAATAATCTCTAGACGCATGGGGCGGTACGCAGATCTTAGATCAGTCATCGAATAATCACGAAGCTTTTGAGGAATACATAAATTAATCAGTGAAAAGGATGGACTGCAGTGAGAGAACTCTGCAGAAACCCCCAGCTAATAAAGAGTAACAGTGCCCAGATGTACTAAATCGAAAAAGACTCAACATGAACATGAACTTATTAAACAGTTATTTCTTTGCTTTATTCTTTTTTCTTCTCTTCTCTTGAAAGAACGTATGGTTCTGATACCACTTTTTCAAAGAGAATGTTCGTTTCCATTCTTACCAGTCCAATTATTTTTAAGAGACCGATGGAATATGAATCACCTATTGTAATTAACTTATAATTGTTGTTAATCTACAAGTGAGAAGATTCAATAAAAAAATTTAATATATATTCATATTAAATCTACCTAACTGAATAGTTAAAAATTACACATTCCAAATACAATTTATCAAGAGATTGTCAATGTTTTGTATTTAGTAATATTGAAATATTATTATTTTATTATATTTCAAATTTATATCTTCTTAATAATAAATTTTTATGTAAAAATATTATATGTAATTTCATTATTGGAACAGTCATAGATAGATATTTGAAAATTTTTTCTAATAAACTTAAATAAATATTTAAATGAAAATCCATCTTCTTATCCAATAACACGTAAAAATGTGTCAAAATGTCATGCAGTGGCATTTGTAAAGTTTATAAAAATTTTTATATTTATTATTATTTTCCTTTTTTACTGCTACACATCAAACATTTTCCCACCAACACATTTTGCTGTTTTTAATTTTCTTTGATGTTTAATTTTTATCTTGCAGATAAATTTTTGTCCTGCTGTCATTTACAATTTTGCGGTCTCGTAGTTTTTGTAGTTGTGTACAATTTGTTACAAAAACGTTATTAAGGTGTAATTGTGATGGCTGTAATATTTCATTCATATAAAATATATACATACATATTTTTTTAACAAGATGATATATCTATCCACTAAATAAACATATTAAAATAAATAAATATGTAAGCAATTTTGTAGTTGTATATATTCTGTATGTTACACAATTTTTTGAGGTTTTATCTGTTCAAAATTACTTCATATAGTAGTGGTCAGTTTTTATGATGTTTTTGTGGTTCAAAATTTTAATGTTTTTGTAAGTATAAATATTAACATTGGTGTGATCTTATACCAAATATGAGAATAGACAAAAAAAAAACTTAAGTCAGTGCGGTGAGCAAATGAAGGTTAAAAAGGTGTAGAACTCACAATTCTATTTTCTCACAATTTTTTTAATATCATAAATATCATAAAAGTGTTTATTCCAGAATCGGTTGTGAAGATATTAGGTTGTGAAGAAGGTTTGTTATATTAAAATATTGTTACATGTATTACATATAATAATATAGTATTAAAGCATAAATATTAATAAAAAACTGCGTGTTTTTATATATATAATTATAATTATATTTCGACTGAATATGACTAAGTAATGATCAAAATAACATTTGTAAGTTATTTTTCATTTCTAGTAATATGAGTGTGTATCATATCGTATAAATATTTAATTAATTTATTTCAATAAAAGTATAGTGAAGAATTTCTGTGCTCATGTAATTGCGGAATATTTAAATATATTAATATATATTTATATAATTTATATATTTAATATAAATATTATATAATTAT